TTTTTTTTTTTTTTGGTACCAGGGATTGAACTCGGGACCTTGACCTTGCAAGGCAGGCAGTGGAACCACTAAGCTAGATTCCCGGCCCTAGCAATTATACATTCTCCTCAAAATAAAAGTTACCATTAAATTCCCTGAGACAAAATCACAGATGATTTGACCAGTAGAATAAACATAAATGAAGACAGATTTAAAAAACATCAATGAAGAACCCTAAATGAGACATGTATTGAGCCTGAATGTAACAAATTAGCTGAGGAACGTACTATCATCTCCAAGCCTAGAGGCATACTCATTAATTCTTCTCCAACTTCCACAATTTGCTCACTATTTCTTGAGTTTTCTTCCCTCCATTTTCTCATTTTATCTCTCATTTCTGAAAAAAATTAAACAGGCAAATTATTTACATACGTGGACACTTATAAACACATGAATGACAAACATCAAAAAGTGACCACACATAAACTTCTGATTAGTGAGTTTATTTACATAGTCGATTGCATTTTGTAACATGATATTCTGATGAAACTGATAAAGTAGAAAATCTCCTGAACAAGAGCAGCATACCCTTTAGGAGATGGCACCCATCTCGTATCCCAACGGTCCTGAAAAGCAGTGCAGGGCAAGGTCTGCACCAGACTCCATGCCCCTCCAGCAGTGAGAGCTCTTGACTTTTTTTGTTTTGGGGGATATAGGCTATTTTTAGTTTCATAAAAGCTAGGGATTGTTTTTCCAGAATAAGCCATAGGATTATATTCAAATACATCAAAGTTTTCAAAGTGTTCCTAAAGTTCACTCACTGACCCAAGAACATAAAATTTTTATAATCAGAATATCACATTTAGGCCATCAGCACTAAAGGGATTCATCACCAACTTCCTTCATGATACAGGGCTATGCAAAGAAAGAAAAAGCAAAAGAATTAAATAAAGGAAATCTCTGTTATTGTATTGAAACAAGGAATAAAGTGAGTAACGTAAAATAAGGTCAAGAGCATGGACAACGTAAGTCAATTATAACAGAACAGGGACCTGTGGAAGTCTGAAGTCTGAAGGACAGCACTGCTGTGGACTGAAACCATCTCCCACAGTCCACGTGCCGGAGTCTTAATCCCCAGTGTGACCACACTGAGAGGACAGAGCTTCAAGAGGTATCGGGCCTTGTTCTAATGAATGGATCAACGCCACCATTGCAGGAGGAGGATTTACCACGGGAGGGTCAGTCAGGGCAGGAATGGGTTCCTGGAAACAGAAGGAGCTCAGCCTCCTTCTACCCTGCACCCTACTCTGCCTTCCAGTGTGTGATGACACAGCCACAAGGTCTCCACCAGGTGCAGCCCTGACCCTGGGCCTCCAGCCTCCAGAACCATGAACCAAGTAAATGTTCACTAAAGGACACTCAGCTTGAGATATTGTGTTTTAGCAGCAAAAATGGGCTACGGAAAGAACAATAACACAAATTAAATCCTTTAAAAATAGCTAAGCTAGTCTTCTCTTTCATAGTGTTATGGACTGAATGTCTAGGTCCCCTTTCAAACTCCTATGTTGAATTCCCTAGCCTCCAGAAGTTTCTGTTGCTGAAGACTACAATTTACAGTGTATTTGTTATGGTGGCATGAACTGAGACACACAATTAAGGTTGGATTAACTGTCCAACTCCCCAAATGCATGTTGTCGTACTTTTATCCATCTGAAAATCTTGAAATACTACCTTCATTCTTCTAGCTGAATTAAATATTTGTTGAACAGATGAGTCAAATGAACTAGGACCCTAAGAAAACCTGTAAGAGAAGCATGTGAGATTTTCACTATTTCCCTATGTACTGAGTTCCTAGTTTGAAGCCTACAAGAGAAAAACTTATCATAACATGAAAGCAGATCCTGAGTGACAAAAATGACCATAGAATTTGTAAAAAATCATTACAAATTAACTACTTACCAGTCCAATTATTTAAATACAGCATGACAAAAAAAATGTGTATTTTTTGTTAATTTTTATAAGATAAAATAACAGGAAACATAAAAACAATTTCATCAAATGTATTCAACACAAGAACGGAGTTGAAATGACACCTGCCTGAGCGACACTAGGGAGTCAGCAGGTAAATAAACAGGCTGTTTACGGGCAAGTGGTTAACATGCAGTTAGTTTCTTCTTATGAAATCGAGACATCAGCTTGTTTCTCATCTCTGATAAAGTACCCTGAACTAATCAAAGGGTGAAGAGGAGTTCAAAAAGGCAAGTGTCATTCTACCAGAAAGAATTCCTGGCAACTCAAAATTTAGGAAACACAGTAGGACCAAAAACTGAGAAGATAAGAAGTAAGAAGAATACGTTTCTTAGATTCCTTTTATTTCGTAATAATGAATTTGTTTCTAAAGGTGCAAGAGAACAAAAATTTTGGAGGAAAAAGAAAAGCCACATGATTAGAACTATACCCTAGAAAAATCAGTGGGGCAAACAAAACCCACAAGATGAACTGGAAAGGATAAAAGCTTACATGAAAAGCAACCAGTCGTGGAGCACGTACAATTGGTGCAAATGAATCTAAACTTTTACATGACTGCAAACCACTTACTCGATCTGGGCTTAGTTTTCCACACCTCTGAATGGAGATGCGTACTGCCTGCCGCCTGTGGCTGTGCGCACAGTTAGGGTTAGCAGGACTGCTTGTGGGAGACTCCGCCTGCCCTGCCCGCAGCCTGCTGCAGCTGTGAGCCTAGATCCGACCTGCTCTCCACAGCTCCCCCAGGTGCTAGACAAGAAGCCAGCAGAGCAGACTCTGACACAGCCAGCACCAGCACAGTGCCCGACGTTCCTGATGAAATGACTTCCGTCCTACCCACAGTCCTAGCTACAAGCACTACGAAGCATCAACATGCATGCAGAAGAAAGCTAAAAGCAGCAGCAAATGCCACCGGATGGACTCAGCAGCAGAAGACTCTCCAGGCACCCACAGGGAAGCACAGACAAGCACCGGGACAAGGAGGGCTCTGCCTCTGCACACACCCAAATCGGGCAGCCAGCGGGGGGAGGCCGAACTGGCGGTAGCTGCAGCGCCTCTGAACTCCCGTAAGGACCGCAAGGCCCTTCTGGGGTAAGATCCCAAACTGAGGCAAGTCCAATCAAAACTCAGCAGCCCAGACCAAGACATTTCAGGCGGCAAGATGCTATAACAGAAAGAACCACAGAAAAGGGAGCTCTCCGGGCTTAAAACGCCACCAACCTCCACACCTGCTGTACAATTCCAGGAAGCTTCTTTCACATAAAGACGAACGAACAACAGGAAAGCGTCCAGGTCAAACATCTTTTACGCTACTGCAGTTTCCCACCTGTTTCCTCCTACTTGTTCATGGGCACGGGGCATCAGGGGAAAATCTGATTTCCAAGAGGTTCCCTTTCATCTTCTGATACAGCCTATGCCTCTCACCTGGGGAATTCACATATACTCATGTTACTTCTGACGTATGCTAGAAACAGATGAAAAGCAACGATCCCTATGAATGACAGAAAAACTTGAACCTGCAAAATCATCCAAAGCATTCAAGACGCCCACTCGGTTTCTCATTAGTTTCTTCTTCCCAGACAGCAGCCATGGTGCCGTGGTTTGGAGGAAAAGGCCACCCTCAAACTGCTCAGCCTCCAGTGCTGTCTCTGCTGCTTCCTGGCTATGTGACAGCAACTAAGTGAGGCGCTCTGCACGTTCACATCCTCACACACCGCGGTGCACGCCTTCAGTCCCAGCACTGTGGGAGCCACAGCAGTGGACGGTAACTTCCAACCCAGCCTGGGCAACTAAGTGACTTAGTGAGGCTGTGTCTCAAAATAAAAAATTTAAGAAGGGCTGGGCACTTACCTCAGTGCAAAGGCTCTGGGTTCAAGCCCCAGGGGCACACACACACAAGGAAATAAAAGTAGTAACATCTGTAGCATATGGTTATTGTGAGCATTTGAGTTAATGATGTGAAGACAGTACCTGGCACATGAATGCCAAAAAAAATTTTAGCTGCTATTAATATTTTACCATTTTCATGCACACTGTTAATCCCCTTTGGTTTCTGAACCAAGAAGAGCTTAAGTTTCTCCCTAAGTCAGGTACTGTGGATGATGGAAATACACTGTTTTAGGAAAGAGAATGAAGTGGCGCCTCAGTTTACAAACTTAATTTGTTTTACGGTTTTGGGGACGATGACTGTGGTCATGTTTGTCACCTAATGCGGAGCTTGGGAACAGAAGCAAAATTGTGTCAAATGCTTTTGTTTGTAAACCCAATTGTTTGCAAACAGAAGTGTTCATGGACCAAGCCATTACTGCACATTTCTAAGCATAATTCATAAGAACAGGTCTATATCTTACAGGGCAACCAGGAGGTGTCTTACTAGTGAGCAGAGATACAGTGTGCCATCCATTTGTCCAGGGCAGGGGAGGCGAACCTAAGGGACACGTGCCGCAGCGGGCTATTTCTATCATTGAAAGATCTAAAAGGTTCCCTATCACTGCTCTCGGGTATAAAGGAACAAATGGTATCCATGGTGAGTTGGATGCAATAGGCAGGAAAACAATGAAGTGTTCAGTTTTGAGTTTTACTGTGGAACATCCAGGAGATGTGTCCTATAGATAACCTGTAAACAAGGATCTCCAGTTTGGAAACGAAATCTCAGAGTCCATTCTACGAAACGCATATGGGACCATCCCTGTCCTGTTCAACACTGTATCCTCAGGAACTGGAATACTACCTAGTGCAAAGTACCCCACTGTATGTTTAACAAGTGTCCAATTTAGCATACAGGCTAATATTTAAACCTGGATGTGGATGAAATTGAAAAGATACTTAACCTTTTTTAGACCTCTTTGAAGCCGATTAGATACTTGAATCATCTTTTCCCTGACACAAGCGGTTTAAATATGCACTTAATTTTGCACACTAATTTCACAGACCACATAACATGCCTGAGTCAGAAATCTACTAGTCTCAGGTTTAACAACTGCTGATAATATAGTAAGAAGAGAGGTAAGGAAACCACACAAAAGTGTTGGGAGCCATTCTACATAATTTGGGGGGTAAAATCATTTCACAATTAGATTATGATGAGGGCCGTCTTAGGCCTAGTCATCCTACTACAGGCTGGCTATGGCACGGGGAAACATAACTCCATTTTGCCTTTGGTCACAGCTGAGGCCTCAATAGTCTGGGGATGCTGTGACACTCAAGGGCAAGATTCTATCAGCTGAAGACATCCTGGTTCTTTGAGTAGTAATACAAAAAGAGACTGGTTTTCACCTGGAGAGAAACAAATTCCTCTTCAGCTTAACTCATTCCACCTACTATTGTAAGTGTTTTGTTCATCTCACCGTCCTAATCAACATAAGCTCCTCAAGGACCTAAGATCCTCATCAGCACAAGATCCTCATCATCACAGGATTACCACCACCCACTGAGTCTTCTGATCCTTCCTTGATTATAAGATCTTTGTCAATTTAGGATTATCGCTGCCCTCTGAGTCAGACATCTGATACTCCGTACGGACCTAATAAATAGTGGCCAGCTCAGAGTGTC